TCTTGAAGGACTTGAACTCGGATTCATGTGATAGTGACCTATGGAGCTTAACCACTAAGCTATAGATCCATAGGTCTAGTAATACAAAACATATATAATCTAAAATAATTATATAAATATTGATAAAAATAATATTTTTATTTAAATTTTTGTTTAATTTGATTGATTATTTTTTATTGCTTGTATCAAATAATCTAATTTGATAATTTATTTAAATTCAAAAAATATCGATATAAATAAATTTTGAAATATTATTTTGAAATATATTGATTTAAAATTAATCTTTTAATATTTTTTCAAAGTCTGCTAGACCAGTTTTTGATTAATAAATATTAATTAAAGTTAAACCAAAATTTTTTCTTTATATAATTTTTAAATGTAATTACATTATTTATTTTTAATTAATATAAAATCCAAAATTTTATCTTTATATAATCTAACTAAATTTGAATTAGATCTGATTGATTGAGTATAACATATACTAGATAATCAATCAATTTGCATATAAAAAAGAAATTTTACCATGTTTGCTTCTATAAATATTGAACTAAAAATATTTATATATTAATTTAAAAACATATTAATTGTACTATAAATCTTTAAATCAACTTTGTTATTTTTCGAATATTCAATAAACTATTGATATTTGATATACCTAATATCATTTTCCTAACAATTTTCTTTTATATATTACTGTCATTTTTTATTTATTAACAACATAAATTATCAAATACAGTATAAGTTATAAATTTATAAAAATTAATTACATTATACTGTATATATCTTATACTTAATAATTTTATAAAATCAATATATCAAAAATGCAATTGTAAATGCTTTAAGAACAAGAAAATATAAATATATATAGAATAAAAGATACAAATTGATAACTTGTTTAAAATTCCTATAGACAATTTCATAGTATTAACTTGTTATTACAGCATATCATTACCGAAGACCGCACGCATTAGATCGTTAATTTAAAACGAACATATACTGTAAAATGATTTTTTTTAAGTTTTCTCCTATAATAAGTAGGAATATTATGTCTGTATTAATTATCTTCTGTTTATTATTTAAATAGGAATGACATACTTATAGAAAAAAGAAATAAGAACATACCGTTATATTATTTGTTTCTTTTAGATAGAGGGAATTATTGTGAGAAATATAATCGGAATAATCAAGATGCTTGCTCGCGAAAGAATTGTGCGATTTTTTTATTGGTCGTGGACTTTCTTTTACCGCAGTTAACCGCTTTTTCCATCGGCTTTCTCTTTCGTAAGTAAACCCCATATTTTGCAAACCGTCCAGATTCATATTACCCCAATCATTAAACTGATTCCACAATTCATCTGCCGTTGAACGATTGGCGGGAATAGGGTCCCAACATTTGGTCATTAGATCAATGTAATATTCAGGTGCATATTCTGGAATTAGTGGCCGTTCTCCTTTACAAATAACTAGTGCTAAATCTTGATCATAGTCTCTCTCAACAAAAGGTGGTTCTACCGATATAATCTCATACATTATCATTCCCAATCCATAAATATCCGCCGCTTTACTATACTTTTTGCCACTTAGAACCTCTGGTGCGACAAAAGGTATGACTCCGTACACCTTGTCTGTCACGCTTTCATTCATCGGACGACTTAACCCGAAATCACCAATCATCGGATAAATATTACCATATATGCTGTTCAAGATATTACCACTGTGAAAATCCTTGTGGCAATAACCTCGAGAATGAATTTCAGCTAACCCACGGCTAATATCACTGAGCATTAAAATGATTTTTTTCCATGATAATTTATTATGGTTTTCAGAAATAACTTTCCTCAAACTACCTCCATTTTGGAATGCTGTGACAATAGCATATTCATTTGTTAAAGGATCACGCGTTACTCCATAAATTCGATTTACGTAATCATTAAGGTTGAGATTCGAGTTATTCTTCATCTAATAACATTGAATTAATAACATAAAATACCTCATGAACTTATGGCCTATATACTATACTTACCTCATCCAAGAATTCTAAACTCGCACTAGTCGCTTTTCGACATTTTTTTATTGCCACCGTCCAATTGCTGTGTCGGTTCCATTCTGATTTTTCCGTATTCCAACAAGAAACCATATTCTTATACCTACTCCAAGAGAAGTATCGTCTTTTACGTATTCTTTCTTCTTTTATTGGACCATCAATCCAAACTGCTTTGTAAATAATTCCAAACCCTCCTTCCGCGATGTATTCTATGTTTTTGAGATTTGAATACTCAATCCATTCCAATGTTTTCCAACGCTCATCAGCATTAAGTTGCGAATCCCAGATTAATCCGTCTATATTGGCGTTACCGCTCGTCCAGTTTTGTAAGTTATCCCACCAATGAGCAGAGTTACATGGTTTGCAATAACCGTTACTGACTTTTTTACCGCATTCAGAACATCTAGGCATCGTTTTTAGTAAACGCCGAGTATGGAATAATTGACTATGGTGTTTAACAATTGATTTAGTCCTTATTGAAATTCAAAAGGGAGCAAGTATTTATTCTTGACTTTATTTTCGTCACTTGTGCAATATTTGTATAATGTCAATTAATTATGTGTCTAATTATGCGTTTTACAAGTTACACTACACTTATACACATTTTTTGAAGACAATAAATTAAGCTTGAGTTGCTAGTTATAAAGAAAAAACATTTAATTTCTATGAATCATTAATATCAAAGAATAAATAAATTGTCAAATTAGTTTGCTTAGTACCGTAATGCCTAGTTGTTTACAATTATAAGATACCTTTTTTCAATGACTTATCGACACACCAACAGAAAACTTGGTAACTCAGACGCTTGCTTTGCGTCATTGGTTCAAGCAAGAAAAGATCTTTGTCAAGATATTTTTATTTAGAACTTATTTATAATATTTTTTATTTTCCAAAATAACTTCCACCATCATTATTATCACCATTACTGATATTATTATCATAAAAGATTTTCTATATATTTGTATCTTTAGTGCTAAGTAAAAAGAAATCATAAATAACAAAATAAAATTCTTTTCTTTTAGTTTTCAACTCATGAACTTTTTAGTAATATCAATTCAAATATTAATTTCAAATAATTAAACTTGATTTTATTGAAACAAATAAGTTATAAAATAATTTTGAAATTGTAATTACTTACTGTAATTAATTTTATCAATTTGTCTTTGATTTTATCCAATAGTATATATTATTTTATATTATAAAACTTTTAAATATAATTTTTTTAATAATTCAAAAATCAATAAATATAAATTATTTGAAAATATTCTTGTTATTAACATTATTTTTATTTATAAAATATAAAAAAAAATTATAAAATATTAAAAAAAAGTAATAATAATAATAATAAATTTTAATAATATAAAAAATAAAATATAAAATAAATACAAATATAAACAGAAATATTGAATATAAAATTATATTCAAATTATAATTAAAATTAATTGTTAAAGTAATAAATAAAATAAATTCATAATATAATAATTTCTTACTTCAAATTATATATACTAATACAAATATAATGAAATTTGTAAAAACACTTAAATTTATTAAAATAAATAATAAAAATATTCATTTGATTTTATTTCAACTATTTAATATTTGACATTTTATTAATATTATATTCAAGTTTAAAAATATTTTATAAAGAGTTTTATGATAATATTATTGATAAAACAATATATGAAATAATTAAAAATTATAATTAAAAAATAAAATTTTCATATGAAAATTCAAATTAAAGAAATATTTTATATATCTAGTTACAAATTTTATTAAAAAGAAATTAAAGTTGCTTTATATATAACATTTATTGTATATAGTTGATTAATATATAGTATGGAATATACATGTGGTGTAAATTATTTTGCTGTTGACTCAATTGCCAAAATCCTCAAAAATAATTGAGTCAGACACAATTATTTTTGAGGATTTTGGCAATTGAGTCAACAACAAAATAATTATATCACATGTATAGTATGGAACAAAAATATCCAAAATTAAAAAATCAATCATTATATTGTAATAGACAATTTAAGATTATATAAAAATATATTATTTTAAAGCTTAAGATCTAATTATTAATTTTTATTTATATTAATAAGATATACCTTTACCTTCTAATTCAATAATCATATCACAATAATTCTTCATTAATTTTGTTAAGTTTATTAAAATAGTATTTGAAATATTTTCCTATTCTTTAATTATAAATTGTTTCAGATTGTCAAGATTTTTTGATATTTATTTCTTTACTTTATTTTTAACAATATTTTAGAGATTTTTAATAAGATTTATATCTGAACTATTTGATAAGAATTATTATCTTATTAAAATTGCTATCAGTTTCCAAGTATATTATTAATTTCAAATAAGTATTTTTTAAATATTTCAATATAGAATTCCATATTCATAACTTGTTTAAAACAAAATAAAGTTGTTTTTTTTACTATATAGAAGTCCTTACACAAGAATTTTTCTTCAATTCTTAGATATTGGATAAATCAGTTTCATATTCTTATATCAATATTTTACAATATTTCTAAATATTTAAAAAATTATTTCTTCTAAAAATAATATTCAACTCCAATATTTATTATAATGTTTTTTAGTTTATTCAACATGTTATTATTTATGAGCCTCAGTAAGCATAGATATCATTCTTATAAAATTTTTTTTATATCCTATGTTATTAAAATATTTAATAATTGTTCTATAAAAAATATTTATATTCTTTTTTTAATAAATTTATTATCAAAATCCTTATTGAAATAATAAAATCTTTACATATATATTGTTTAAACAGAAGTATTATCTCCTTGTTAATCTTTTTTGAATAAATGTTACTTTTCAAATATTTTGTTGATCTGTTTTTTTTTAACTTTGTAATATTATCATATATTATAAAGAATAGAACTTTTATTTATATATATAGTTTTTTTGTATTATATATATTAATATTATATAAGTATAATAGAAATTTGTATTGTTTTTTTTCAAAAGAAGATATTATTTCAAGAAGACATTATGTTACAAGAAAATATGTTATGGTTACAAGATGATTGTTATTTTAAATTCCAATTATATATTTATCTGTAAAAAAAATAATACAATTTGAATCATATTTGGATAAGCAGAAAGATTTTTTGTTGCATCAAAAATTTTCTAATTATTTTTATCCATACTATATATTAAAAAAATATTTTATATTGTTATATAAAAAAAAAATTATAACTTTATATTTTAAAATTCAATAAAAACATAATAAATAACCATTTCAAAAAATTATTTATAATTACAAAATTATTTATATCAAAAACAATAATAAAATCCTATTATAGATCTATGAAAAACTAAAAAGAAACAAAAAAGCAATATTACTAGTCTTTCGGAGACGGACAATAATGCGGGAGTCAATGATAAACCTGGTGAAGTTTTTAAAGCAATTCCCTGGCTGTCAGCAGAGAATGGGTTAAAGCTAGCCGTCGGATGTGGT